CCCACAAAACAACATTTACCATTTTAACCATTTTTAAGTGCATACCTTGGTAATGTTAAGTATATGCATATTGTTGTGAATAGATCTCCAGAAATCTTTCATCTTACAAATCTGAAACTCTGTCCCTATTGAACAGCTCCCCACCCCCCACTCCCAATCAATCCCCAGTAACCATCACTCTTCTTGCTGTCTCTGAATTTCACAACTTCAGATATGTCGTAAATGGAATCCTATAGTATTTTAGTATTTATCTTTTTGTAATTGGCTTATTTAACTTCACATAAGTCCTCAGGGTTCATCTGTGTTGAGCATGTGTCACAATGTCCTTCCTTTTCAAGGCTAAATAATACTTTGTTGTATGGACAGACCACGTTTTGTTCATCCATTCATCTGCCGATGGACAATGGGTTGCTTCCATGTTTTAGCTCTTGTGAATCGTACTGCAGTGAACATGGGTGTGCAAATATTTCTTCAAGCTCCTGCTTTCAATTCTTCTAGGTATATACCCAGAAGTAGAATTGCTGGGTCATATGGTAATTCTGTTTTTAATTTTTTTTAGGAACTTCCATACTATTTTCCATGAAAGTTGCACCATTTTACAATCCCACCAGCAATGTGCAGGGTTCTAAGTTCTCTACATCCTCACCAACACTTGTTATTGTCTGTTTTTTCATTGTAGCCATTCTGATGGCTCAGAACACATCACGCTGGAGCTAGAGCCTGTCCTTCCTATGGAAAGTTATGTTTATGCTTTCAAGGCACTATCTTCCCCAAATTCATTGGGACTCAAAAGTCATGGGTTCCAATGGGGTCCCCTGCAAGGTAGGATGGCTCCCCACTTCCCCCACCCTGGAGAGATTTCTTCGATCTGATTTTGGTCTCAATTATCAGGGCCGGATTGTTAGGGTTTGGTCTGTGTCTCATGGTTGGTCCTCATTCAGCCCAGGGGGTGTCAAATTGAGAAGAATGCTGTCCTCTGGTCCCAGACCCCACCGGGAGCCACGTATTAGTGGGGGCCAGGTCCTAGGGCAAAAATCATGTGGAGTCACAACTGCCCCAGCCAGTCCCTGACGGGCCTGCCCCGTGAAATAATGTTTGTCTTTCAGGAAGTCTTCTACCGTCAATTGATCTTCCCACGTTGGATGCAAAAGCTGTTCCTCAAAATTCAGCCACAGATGAAAATTGCTGGCTGTTTCTTAGGAAGTTATATTGCCTGAAAAAATACAGAAAGCAAACACCTCACCCTGGCTGTGTGCAGGCACTGTTCTGCATTCCAGTTACAACAGTTCATTTTATCTGTATTGCATGCCTAGTAAGTGGCCGCTAGGATTTTCATCTGTTTCAAGATTAAAGAAAACTGAGGGAAAGAGAGAGCTGAGTGATTTTCCCAGAGTCACACAGCTATTAAGTTGTAGTGGGGGGATTGGAACCCTCAGCATCTGGCTCTAGACATTGAATCTCACCTTTTACTGTGTGCAGGGGGCCCTATGTGCACCCAGGGAGAGACACTCAGGGATGAGTTCCACCACGGGAACAGCATTTTCGGGGCTTCTGTCTTACACTTACTCTGGGGGGGTACTTCATATTTCTCTTGGGCCAAGCAGCATGCTGGAACACCCCACCCATTCAAAGTGGGCTTTCTTAACCTCAGCCCTGTTGATGTTCTGGGCTGGATAATTCTTTGTTGTGAAGGCTGTCTGTGCACTGTCGGATTTTAGTGACAGTAGCACCACCCCCTCCCGCCCCAAGTTGTACAACCAAAAATGTCTTCAGACATGGCCAGTTGTCTGCCAGGGGCAAAATCACCCCTGGTTGAGAACCCTGGTGAGATTGTTCTTGTCGGGTTTGGATTGGGGTAGGTTAAATTGGCATTTGCAGAGACTCAGAGCATTCCTGACACCCCCGTGTTGGACATAGACCCAAGGGAAGCTGGTGGGGTGCACAGTTCAAGGAAGGAGAGGGGGTGGGTGATGGTACAGATGGAAGCTTGGTGGCCACCCATTGCTCGCTGCAATTAACACGCACACACACAATCGTGTTCCAACACACCAAGGAGAATTTTGTTTTCTTGTTACTCCAGGGAGTTTGTTTGCTTCAACAAACGAGGACCCCCCTCATCCAGACCCCTGCCCCCAGTGACTTTGGGGAGCAAGTCACACTGCTCCTCTCCCCACTCTGAAATCTATTTTAAAAGCCTAGAAATAGGACACATAGGCAGGTCCCACCAAGACCTGATTGTTCAATTTTAAGGAAGATCTATGATTACCAAGGAAAATAGCCCACAGAATCAGGGAACTAGACAGATTTCAGTTCTCTTTGATTATGGCACGGAATTACATATTCTGAAATTAACTCCTTACATCTCCAGCAGTTTAACTTCCTCTTATTTATATTTCCTGTTAATGTGAAATTGATTGCCTAAACCATGCCAACAGTAAAATCACT